TGTGTGGGGCTCACAGTGGGCAAGTAGGTAACAGGTATTCCAGGCAGAAGGAACAGCACCTGCAAAGTGCAAGGCCTGTGGGACCTGCTCTGAGGGTGGCTGGGGGTCACCCTGCAGGCCAGGGGCCTTATTGACAGATGACACAGTCCCATCACAGTGATGACAGGGGACAGGCAGCATTCCCTGCCCCACTCACTTCTGTTTTATACTTTGACGTCTGCTGCTGCCCTTTCAAAGGCTGATCCTAGGGCAGTCACTGGGTTTAGAGGTAGAGGCCAGCCATCTGGTGGGCAGTGGAGCCCATGCTTTGGGGGAAGTGGGCTGGCCAGGGGGTGACTGGGATGAGGACTCAAGGGGGACGTGTGGCTTGAAGGTGGCATGCACCAGCTGCCCCCCCCCCCAGCGTGCAAAGCTGGTTATTAGCTCCTGGGGACATGGTGGGCAAGGCTGAGCATACAGGTCCCCAACTTGATTCCAAGGAGCCGCCAACTACCTTGTGGATGCCCCAGCGGGCCATGGAGCCTCAGCCCCTCGCCCATGGGGGAGGAGGTAGCGCTCCTGGCTCCTGTGCCCCTTCCAGCCCTCCCACCCCCACGCAGCAGGCACCAACCTGCCCTGCCTCCTCAGCCCTCAGAGGCTCCAGGTCAACTGGGAGACCCCCTTGTCCCTGTGAGGCACAAGAGCCCAAAGGAGAGGGGGTGGGGAGTGGGGGGTGTGGCACACCCTGGGAGACAGCCGGCCTATGGGACCAGGGACCAGGGGTGGTGACCTCATCTGTGAAATGAGGGAGTTGGACTCGATGCTCTGAGGCCTGCGCCCGTCTCCTCTACAGACAGTACAGGCTCTGGGGCGGAGACCACAGGGGCAGGAAGAGGCAGGGGATCCCGTGTGGGGCCAGGGGTAGAAGAAAGGGGTACAGTGTGGGGACCGGGGGGCCTGGGCAAAGCTGGGGCTGGGGTCACAAGGAGCTGAGTGGGTGTGACAAAGGCCAGGCCCAGGAGGGAGCCTGTTATCCAGCAGGTGCTCAGATCCAAGGCTGAGAGTGGGGCCTTTGGCTGTGGGTGCAGCCACCCCCAACACCAGCTGTGTCCTTTCACTGAGGACAGGATGAGAGACTGAGGTGTGGGCGAGAGGCCCTCTGCTGGGCGCAGCCAGCTGCAGATGGCCTTGCCTGGGAGACCTTTCCCAGCCCCACTCTTCAGAGGCCCTGGAGCTTTGACTGTCCTTCCTTTCTAAACAGCACCCTGCCCCATCCTGTCCCCACACTCTTCTGGAAGTAAATCCTTACTGCCCAAGGCTGGGCGGGCCATGGGGAGCTCACTGGGGGCTGAGGGGAGAGCACCTCCAGACTGAGCGAAGGAGAGCAGTCCTCTGCCATCCCAATTAGCAAGCATGCCAGGGTGCACAGGACACACTGCCAAGGTTTTGTTGGAAGGGGGGGAAGGACGAGGGTGTGGATCCATCCAGACTCTGAGACTGAGCTCAGCGCCCCTGCAGTGGGTTGTTCTAAAGTTGCCCAGGACTTGTCCTGTGCTTCAGGCCTGGGCTGGGTACCTGGAGCTTCCTGCCCCGCCTGCTGTCACTGATGCCACACTGAAGCCCTACCAGCAGTTGCCCCAAGGCAGGAGCTGGTGCCCAACCCAGGCCCCAGACGTCTCATGCAGCCCCTGTGCATACACAGGGCCCAGGCTGCACCCTCTTTTCCCTAGAGCCCCTCAGCTTCCAAGACCAAATTTATTTAAATTCCATGGAATTTTAAAAATCATGTTCCACCTAGCACTCTGGGAGGCCGAGGTGGGAGGACTGCTCAAGGTCAGGAGTTCAAGACCAGCCTGAGCAAGAGCGAGACCTCTGTCTCTAATAAAAATAAAAAATTGGTCAACTAAAAATATATAGAAAAAATTAGCTGGGCATGGTGGTGCATGCCTGTAGTCCCAGCTACTCGGGAGGCTGAGGCAGGAGGATTGCTTGAGCCCAAGGGTGTGAGGTTGCTGTGAACAAGGCCAACGCCACAGCACTCTAGCCCGGGCAACAAAGTGACACTCTGTCTCAAAAAAAAAAAAAAAAAAAAATCATGTTCCATCTAGAATGTTCTTGCCTAGTTAGAGGTTAAGGAGGGCACAGGGTCTCAAATGACCTGAGGCCAGCAGGAGTCCACTGAGGTGAGAGGCCACCTTTCTGGAGCCCCAGGAATGCAGTGCATGCGGTGACAGGAGCACCTCCCCATGCATAAGCTGCTGCAAGACTCGACTTCTCCCAACAGGCAGGACACGGCAGGAAGGGTGGAAATGCCCCTTCACTTAAGCTAAGACCCAGGTGCTGGCACCAGCTGGGTGATGAATTCCCAGCGCTGGTGGCTGGGCCATCTCAACCTGGAGGCTGTCACAGCTTGAGGCAGGGAGGAATCCCAGCCTGCCAGCCCTGGGGTCTGGACAAGCACCTCCTGCTTGGGGCAGCAGCAGCAGCAGAGAAGCCAAGGCAAGGCCCTTCAGTCTAGGTACTGAAATTGCCCACTGCCCTATCACCACCCACCCAAGGGGGCCCCTGAATTTGGACTGAGGGATCCAGAGCCAGGAAACCCCAGACGCATCATGTTGGGAGGCTGACGTTGTTCTTTACCCTCAGGACCAGGACCATGGCTGTGCTAGCCCGGCAGACTGGCCAGAGCCCTCCCACAGCAGAACACGAGAATGGTCCCAAAGGAAACCCTAGGCATGGAGCTGGGGAGGCAGGGCGGTGTAGCCAAGAACCCCATATCTACGCACCCCAACAACACACCTGAAAAAAGTTCCTTAACAAAGTGATTTTCCAGATCAAGAACCTGGAGCCCAGCAGTGACTTGGGGGGGGGGGTTGCGGGGAGGGGCGCCCTTCCCGGCCTCAGGCTACCCTTTGCCCATCTGGAAGGTAGAAGGCAGCGGTGACCTCCGATCCCCTCCAGGCCAGATTTTGATCCCAACCCCTCACCCACCTTCCACGCCAGCCACATCCCACAGCACTCACGTGGTGGCCCTTGGCAGGAACAGACTGGGTTCCCGCGCAGGGAGGGCAACGCAGTGAACGGAGTGGGAGGCTCAGATTTGCCTTAGACTCCTGGGACCCGATGGCGATCTCTCCTCTCCACACCCAACACTCCCTGGGCATTGAGCAAGGCTGGGGCCGCTGCTGGGACACCGGAGGGACGAACAGCAGGTTCCCAGGGGCAACCTCGGCCCTGACCGCTCACCCCCCACGGCCTCGCTCCCTGTGCCCAGGCCCCGCAGCGATTCCTCTGCAAACCACGGAAGGCCGAGACAGCAGTGGTCTCTAAACCGTTTACTTTCCCGGCAGGAGGACGGGGTGTCGGCGGAGGGGAGGGGCGGCGGGCATGAACACTGCGGATGGCGGCCCCGCGGGCTCAGGCGAAAGTGGAGTTGTTCCAGCCGACGTTGGCCGGGTTCATGTCATAGTAGTTGATGTAGACCCTGCGGGGCGGAGGCCAGACTCAGCGGGCTGCGGGCTGGCCCGAAGCCCGCCCCCGCCCCCAGCCCCGGCGCCCGCGCTCACCGGTCCGGGCTGATGCGCAGGCGCTCGGCCAGCAGGCCGCACAGCAGCTTGCTGTAGGCGCGGTTCTGCGCGCCGCCGATCTTGCCGATGCTGTGCAGGCTGCAGAGCGCGCACGGCTCGGTGGAGCCGCCGAAGGCCATGACCTGGTCCGGGACCACGTGCACCGCGATGTACTGCGGGGAGAGGGCGCGGTGAGCCCGCCCGAGCGACGGCACTGGGCCCCGGCGTCCACTTGGGGCCCGAGCCACCGCTCCCACCCCCACCCCGCCCGAAGTCGCCTTCCCAGCCCCTCGCCCGGGACCACCCCGCCGACGGGCACGCCGCTTCCTGTCCCCTCCCGGCAAACCTGGGGCGGCTTGCCCGTGGCCTGCGCCAGCTGCTGCGTGAGCTCGGACAGGAAGCCGTCCGGCACCGCGGCGCGGGGAACGTTGGTGTTCACGACGAACATGGGCATGGTGGCGGAGCAGCGGCACCCGCACCCGACGGACGCACAGACTAGCACGCGCCGCGGCCGCAGCCCGGAAACCTGAGCTACGTGACCGCCGCCCGGCCCCGCCCCCGTGGTGGCGTCACCACCCCCCGGTTCCGCCCCTGGTGGTGACGTCACCGCCGCCCGGCCCCGCCCCGCGCGTGGCCGCGCGCCCTCCGAGCCATTCCCCACCCAGGCCGGAAACCCGCCTGTCCTTCGGTCGCCTCGATTCGCTGTCGGGCCTCGCACTGAGTCACTGACGTGCACGCGGAGGCGCCGGCCGGGGACGGCGTGCGGCGGGTAACCTGGCGGACGGCCCTGCCCCCAGAGCCGCCCGGCCGTCGCCCAGCTCGTTCACCGCCCGCACGGCGCCCCTGCGTTCTCAGTCTCTGGGCCACATGTCCCCAAGGGCTGCAGCCCTGGCGTGGCGTGTGCGCGAGAGGTGGGAAGGGTGGTCGCCGCTGCGGGGCGGGAGGAGCTGCGTTCCCTGCGCGTCTGCGCTGCGAGGGGGCGAGGATGCTGGGGCACGAGGGCAGGGGCCGGAGCTCAGGGGGACAAAGGCGCTCAGCTCCGCTCCGCCGGGTCCCTGGGAACTTCAGCTCCTCAAGGAAGCCCCAGCCTAGTGGAGTCCACCGGGGATGCCCTTGGACTTTCTGGTTTCGGGCTGCGGCCGCGGCGCGTGCTAGTCTGTGCGTCCGTCGGGTGCCGCTGCTCCGCCACCATGCCCATGTTCGTCGTGAACACCAACGTTCCCCGCGCCGCGGTGCCGGACGGCTTCCTGTCCGAGCTCACCCAGCAGCTGGCGCAGGCCACGGGCAGGCAGCAACTGGGTGGGGCCCTGGCCATGCTGGGGGCGCCGGGGTTGAGCCTGCAGACCCTGCCCCCCACCCTGTCCCCACTCTGAGGAGGTCTCTTGTTCAGGGTGGTGCACCAAGGACCACATCCTCAGAGATCTCTAGGAAGGTCCTGTCCTTGGTCTCTGGTAGGTGCAATCCACCCACTGGCTTTGGTGATGGCCACGTGGTGCGGCAAGGACACCCGGGCCTGTGAGACCTGTGTGGCAGCAGTCAGCCTCCAGTCGGGAGGTCCCATGACCTGTTTATGCAAATAGCCTGTAAGTGTCAATCCCTCCAACTAGGCCTCAGGCTGCTTCCCTCCTCACTGTCACACCTCAGGTCTCACCTGTGCCCAGGGCTTCCTTACTACTGAGGCGCTGATGGTGCCACATCTCCAGCTGGGGGCGCTGAGCCCAGCTGCCGACCACGGCAGACCCAGCGTGCCCTGCTCCATATGACCAGACCCAGGAGCGTGACCTTTCCTCCCACACCTGATCGCCTGCCAGTGAAATGTGCATCCTTTCAGTGTCCCCTTATCCTCACTTCTCTCCATTCCACCCCCTCCCTGCCAAGTCTGTGCTAGCTGGCGCGCGGTTGGCCTGTGATTGCCCTGTGGCAGACTCCTTCTCCGAGAGGGAGGAGTCTACTTCCCTGTCCCCGGCAGCAGATGTATCCACTGACTTGCTTTGCCAGTGAAAGGTGAGCAGAGTGACATGAGTGACTCCAGGCAGAAGACTGAAGAACCAGTGCCTGGGTGGCCCATGCCTTGTGAGAGTGGATGTGGGTGACAAGGTGGAGCCTCACCAGCAAGCACCCGGCTGTCCCTGGAGGTGAGCACTGTGCATTTCAGGTTGTTAGCGTAGCAAAGGGGTGCCTTCCCTGGCCAGGACAGCCTCTGACCCACTTGTCCTTATACCTTCTCCAGCTGTTTCCAGTGGCAGTCAGCCCTGTCTTCCCAGAAGGGTACCTGAGGATTCCCAATCCCACTTTTTACTTGCTTGGATACTTGGCTAACATCTCTGAGCCTCAGTTTCCCCACCTGGAATTTGGGTGTTACACAGAGATGTTATGAACACTAACTGGCCTAAATGCTGGTGATTGTCCTCTCTGCTACTAGCGGTAGTACCATCCCAATGCCCGCCTCACCTCCTACCCCCTGCTCTCCCTTGTTCCTTGAGTCATGGCACCTTGTCCTTCAGTGCTACGCTGAAGGTTTCAGTGTCATGCTGAGGCTCCTGGCTTGCGTGTTGGTCCTGAAATGCAGTGTGCCCGAACTTTCCTTCACCTGACTCCAGCCCTCGACTTGGGCTCAGATCCTTGGGAAAGTGCCCAGAGCACCTGGCTTGGTCAGGTTCCACATGTGCCCACACCTGTCCTATCCTTCAAGGCTATCTCCATATTTCTATTTGTGAGTTAAGGTTGCGTTTCTAGGCGGTGAGTTCCGCGAGGGTGGAGACAGGCTCTCTTTTGCCATTGTTGTATGCCTGCCCCAGTGGTAGGCACATGACCCTACCACATGACCATCTATAGACATCCATGCCTTAATCCCTGGACCCTGCAAATATGTTACATTACATGGCAAAAGCACTTTGCGGCTATAATTAGGGTTATGGACCTCAAAATAGGGAGATTATCATGGGTTCTCTGGGTAGGGCCTAGTCTAATCACGTGAGCTCTTAAAAGCAGAGAATTTTCTCCGGCTAGAATCACAGAGATTTGAAGCAGGACAAGGACTTGATGTCCATTACTGGCTTCACAGATGAAGGGGAGCAGAGACTTCATCTTACAACCACAAGGAACTGAATTCTGCTGACAACCTGAATGAACTTGGAAGTGGAATCTTCCTTAGTTGACCTTAAGTGCAAGTTCTTGAGCAGAAAGCCTCACCTTGTCATGTTGGACACCTTACCCTTAGAAACTGTGAGATAATAAATGTGTGTTGTTGCAAGCTGCTACATTTGTGGTGAGTTGTTATAAGAGCAATAGCAAATACACCTGCCATCTATAGGGCACACCAGTGACCTGCTAATGTGGACACACGCGCCAGGCGGGTCCTCACTGGCAGCAGCACCCCAGCTGTGTGCGGGTGAAGCCTTCACTGCCCCTGGCACCCAGGCACGACCACCTCAGCTCCCACCCCAGAGCTCCCCAACCCCGAGAGGCTTCCATCCAGCACCTTCTCTCTATCCACAAGGCTGTTCTCGTCTCCACTCAGCAGCACCTATAGCCCCATGAGGCCCTCGCAGCACCTTCAGCTGGAGACACCACCCTCCTCTCAGCTTCCTCAGCCCTGGGCCTCCAAGGAAGCATTTTCACGGTCTGCCTCCGAAGACAGCAGTGTGTGCATGTGTGCACGGGCATGTGTGTGCATGCACGAGCCTATGAGACTGAGAAGGTGAAAAGTTGGCATCTGCCCCTGGAATGTGTACCAGGACGGGAGCCTGGGCGCCCCCTCAGAGTCCTCGTCTCTTTCTGGGTGCCTGGTCCTCCCTAACCTTCAGGGATCCCCTGCTACCTACAGAATGAAGTCAGAGCAGAGCACGACCCGCAGGGCTCACCACATGTCCTCCAGCTCGCCACCTCTCCCGCTGCCCCACAGCCCATCCTGGCCCCAGCCTCAGAGAGCACTGCCCAAGCCCCAGCTCCACTGTGATCTGCGGCACCTCCAGCTGGACACCTTGGGTGCCCTCTGGGCTCCTCAACAAAATGGGGACCAGGAAGCACAACGGACGCAGACGACCATGCACACCAGCACTCTGAATTGGGAGTGCCACGTGCCACGGACCTCAGGCATCCACCAGTCCTTGGAGGCAGCCTGCACGGTGATCAAGGTCAAAGGCCCAAAGTCAAGCTTGTCCAAGGTCTACTCCTGGCCTACCCAGGTCTACTCCTGGCCCTCCCACTTAGGTCACACACACTTAGTTGTGTGACCTGTGACCTTGACAAGCCCCTGGCTTTTACTCAGTCACTCAGGTGTACAACAGAACAGGGTGATAAAAGTACTAATTCTATGGGGTCCTTGTCAGGATTAAAGGTGCTAACTCTCATAACACACTCAGGACGGTCCCGATGTGTAGAAAACCCCCCATGGGTGATAGCTCTGAACACTTGTCGTCCTGAGACTGTTTCGCTTTTTGCAAGGTGAGGGTCACTGCCATCCTCTCAACCCTTGGTGCAGCCTGAGGATGGGGACTAGGTAGGGTGGAAGCCTCGGGGCGAGATGGGCCCCAAGTGGATATGTGCAAAATGAAGGGGCAAGTGAGCAATTCCGCTGAAACACAGAGTGACCTGTGCCCCAACAAGAGGGACAAGAGTGAGGAGAGGATGACAGCCCTTTGGAGACTGCACCTCACTCATGTCACCCAGGCCCTCATGAACACCACCTGGAGCCTGGCAGCCAGGCAGCCACCCGACTGGGCCATAACCAGCAAGCACGGGAGGGAGGGGTTTGGGCCAGGAGAGGGGCAGGACAGGCCACGCTGGGTCTGGGGTCTGGGCAGGTGGGCTGGAGCTGGGGAGCATGGCCACAGCTCTGGCTCTGGAGCCCCTTGGGCTGGACATCCACGCTGACACGTGGACACAGGCACAGCAGAGACAGGACAGCCACCGGCCCAGACCTTCCCAGATGCTCAGCCTGTCCCCCCCACCCCTCTCAGCACGGTGCCTTCCTACCTCCCAGGTTCTATCCTGAGTCCCTTCCCACCAAGAGGCTCCCTGGGCAACAAGGACTTACAGCTCCCAGGGGAAGCAGGCCTGGCCAGAGCCCATTCCAGCTGGGTGGGTGTGAGTGCACCATGGCTGGCCGCCAGGGCACTAAGGTGTGTCAGATGCAGGTGGCCCTGGGTGCTCCTGGCACCTGCTCTGCTCGCAGCCTGTGTATAGTGGGACCTCAGGGGCGTCTGTCACTGGATCCTTTCTCACAAATCTTCATGGGAGGCCTGCGGCCATAGTGGCTAGAGAAGCCACCTAGAGCCCAAGTGTCAGCTGGGAAGGCCAGTCAGCAGAGGCAGAAATGGGGCAGATGGACAGAGAGAAGCAGGGTGGCCACACAGAGGCTCCTGGGAATGCTGTGTGTGTCTTCCGGAAGACTCTGCCGTGACCAGGCACAGGGGCTTTTCCCATCCTTCAGCTCTGTGCCTTTGAAGAGCTTCAGCTTTAAACACACACATCCTGCTGGGCCTGTCCTTGGGAAGCCAGCTCAGGGTCACCTTCTCCCTGAGACCTCTCCTGACCTGCTGACCCAGAGATCTCTCTCTCCCTAGAGAACCCACTGCCCTACCGCTTCCACTTAACAGGTACTGTGTCCTGACAAAGGCCAAATTCTTCATTATACAAAAATGGTCAATTGATTTTTTCACCTAGATGCCAAAGTATTTTATGGAGAAAAGATGGGCTTTTCAACAAATGGTGCTGGTACAACTGGATATGCATTAAAAAAAAAAAAAAGAAAGAAAGAAACTTGCTAGCATGGTGGCTCATGCCTATAATCCCAGCACTTTGGGAGGCCAAGGCTCACTTGAGGCCAGGAGTTCGAGACCAACCTGAGCAAGAGTGAGACCCCATCTCTACAGAAAAAAAAAAAAAAAAGGAAAAGGAAAATTAGCCAGGCATGGTGGCATGTAACTGTAGTTCCAGCTACTCAGGAGGCTAAGGCAGGATTCCCTGAGCCCAGGAGTTTGAGGTTGCAGTGAGCTATGATGATGCCACTATACTCTAACTTGGGTGACAGAGTGAGACCCTGTCTCCAAAAAAAAAAAAAAAACAAAACTTGAAATTGATCATTAACATTAAGGGTAAGAGCTAAAACTATCCAACATTTAGAAAAAAATCTTTATCATGTTGGGATAGGCAAAAATGTCTTAGGACACAAAAAGCATGAATCACAAAAAATAAAACTGATAAAGTGGACTTTATCAAAGCAATGCTGCTCTTAGAAAGATAATGTTAAGAAAATATTTGCAATACATATATCTGACAAAGTGCTGGCATCTAGAATGTATAAAGGATTCCTATAATTCAAAAATAATAAGACACGGTGGCTCACGCCTGTAATCCTAGCACTTTGGGAGGCTGAGGTGGGAGGATCGTTTGAACTCAGGAGTTTGAAACCAGCCTGAGCAACAAGTAAGACCCCATCTCTACAAAAAATAATAATAATTTTAAAAACTTAGCCAGGCATGGTGGTGTATAGCTGTAATTCCAGCTACTCAAGATGAGGCAGGAGGATTGCCTGAGCCCAGGAGTTTGAGGTCTCAGTGAGCTATGACACTACTGCACTCTAGCCCAGGCAACAGAGCAAGACCCTGTCTCATAAAAATAATAATGATAATAATAATGACAACCTAATAAAAAATAGTGGACAAAAGGTGTGAAGATTCTTCACAAAGGAAAACATACCACCAATGGCCATACCTAAGCACATGAAAAGATGCTCAACATTATTCGTCACCAGGGAGATACCACAATTAAACCACAATGAGATGCCACTGCACTCTCACTGACATGGCTAAATTGAAAAGACTGACAATACCAAGTGTTGGTGAGGATTTGGAGTATCTGGAACTCTCCTACATTGTTAGTGGGAAAGTGAAATAGTATAATCACTTTGGAAAACAGTTTCTTATACATCTAAATACACATTTATTATTAAGCCCAGCAATTCATTTACCATTTACTTGATCTAAATGCTATAGACCAAGTGTGTTTCCCAAATTCATATGTTGAAATCTAATTCCCAACATGGTGGTATTTGGAGATAGGGCCTTTGGGAAGTGATTAGGTCATGAGGGCAGAATGAATGGGATTAGTGCCCTAATAAAAGAGACCCCAGAGGGCTCCCTCATTCCTTCCACCACATTGAGGACATAGTGACAAAACAGTCATCTATGAACCAGGAAGCAGGCCCTCAGCAGACGGAATCTGCCAGCACCTTGATCTTGGACTTCCCAGCTTCAGGAACTGTAAGAAATAAATTTCTGTTGTTTATAAGACACCCAGTCTTTGGCACTTTTTTAATGGCATCCCAAGGGACTAAGACACAAAAGAAATGAAGGTCTATATGACAATTTGTATAGAAATGTTCACAGCAGTTTTATTCATGATGGCCAAGAATCAGAATCAAACCAATGTCCACCAACAGGAAAATGGACAAACGCATCATGATCTAACCAGAAGGGCTGACTGCTCAACAATGCAAGGAGACACACATGAGCCCAGGCGGCAATGCATGTGAATCTGAAAACCTTTACCTGCACCAAAGCTAGACCCGAATGCATACATACATCAAGTTCCGCAGAAAGGCGTATCCGACCAGCAGTGACAACAAGTGGGTCAGTGGTTGCCTGAGGCAAGGGGCGGGGGGGTCGCTGACAGCAGAGGGCATGAGGCTGCTTTTGGGGTGACATGAATGTCCTGTCTTGACAGTGGTGGTGTTTGACAGTGGTGGTTTTGACGGGTGTATACATCTGTCAAATCTCAAGTGAATACTTAAAATGGTTGTCTTTGATTATATGTCAATTACATCTCAATAAAATTGATTGAAAAAAATCAATTCCTCAGAAAATTCTTTTCTGATCATGCCCCTCCCCGACTAGGCCAGGCGGCTGGGCACGCAGGGCGCGCATGCCCACCACAACCTGCATTTTCCTTCCACTACACTTCCCAAGTCTGTTGTTATGTTTTGAATAGTTTTCCTGTCTGTCGGTGGCCTCTAGACTGGAACACCACTGTCCCCACTGACTGCTAGGCAGCTGTCACCACATCTGCACATGACAAGTGCTCGATGAACACTCATCAAACAAAGGAATTCGGGGCTGAGTGGAGGCCGAGGCCCCGGCCACCCCTTTGGAGCTAGAGCTGTGTGGACCGGGTGACCACCAGGCTTCTCCATGGGGGGCCCTGGCTTGAGTTGTGTAAGTTGAGTCTGTGTAAGACCTCAGAGATCTCCAGGAAGGACTTGCCTTTGATCTCAGGGAGGAAGAAGCCAGTGTAGATGGTGCCACAGGCACAGACACCGAGGAAAGGGACATAGAGGAAGTGGGACAAGCCCTCCTGCGCGTTAAAGGAGACCCAAGGACCTGGTGTCACTCCATGAGCCCCCAGACACAGGGCCCATGACAGGTCCTGAGAAGGGCCTTGCTCCCTCTGCTCTTGGGAGAATGCCCTTCAGGGAGGCCTCCCACTGGGGTTCTCAGGATGACAGGGACAGAAAATGAAGACAGGGCCCCCCAGGGGGAAGAGCAGGCTTACCATGACGAAGGGGAACCCCAGCCCAACCAGGAAGAGCATGGCCCACATGAGCACCCCGCAGATCACGGAGGCAGCAGGCAGGGCCGTCTGGTCAAACAGCTCTGTGGCCAGGATGCCCGTCACCCCGGCTGCAAGGAGGGGGAGGGACAGGGGACTGCCAGCCAGGGCTCCCTGCCCACCTCTCCCCTACTGAGGCCCAGAAGTGGGGGTGGGCACCCAGGTCCAGCCTGCGGGGCCCCTTGGTGCTCTCTGGCCATTTCCTTCCAGAAGCCTCAGGGCCTTCGGGTGACATCGCATTCACACCCACCCACTGCAGACCCAGGCACCCGGCGCTCCTGCAGCAGGGTGAGGGAAGCCCAGAGCCCCTGGGGCCCACTCACCGGGGCCAATGCTGAAACTGAGGATGAAGGCGAAGACGCAGGCCACGGCCAGGTAGGGCACCCCGGGGAGGGGGCTCTGGCAGACAGACGGGGCCAGGTGAGGTGCAGATCAGCTGTGCCTGGCCGCCCGCCCTCACCCCAGCCACCTGCAGGCACAGGGCGGCTGTGAAGACACGGGCCCAGCCGGCCATCAGGCAGTACCCCCCATCAGCAGCAGGCGCCAGCCCAGCTTCTCCATGGCTGCACCCTGCAAAGACAGGAGCAGCGACCCGGGGCAGACAACGGTGAGGGACCTCATGAGGGAGCTGAGGGTGGGCAGGGAGCAGTTTATTGCTTTAGGAGACTATGACTTTATTCATAATTTCCTAGAGGACCTTGGTCAATTGATCAGCCAGTTTCATCCTGTTCCCTCATCTCACAATGGGGCTGTGAGTGCCGGGTAAACAGCAGGCGCTCACTAACTCACAGCGTTTTAACAGTAAGCGGGAATGAATGGCTTCACACAGAGGACCGTGGTCCCTGGAGCGCCAGCACCTGAGGTCCCTCCCGGAGGGCTGAGGGCGACTCGTGCTGGCAACAGCGACTGCAGCTTGCAGCCTCCGGTCCCTGTGATAGCGTACTGCACTTCCTGGCCGGCACTCCCGCCTCCTGGAACATGGAGGAGGCATAGGCGTACACCTGGGACAGGGCAGGCACGGTGGCGGGAGGGCCTTAGCTCCCTGGTCCCCCGTGGCTCCCAGGGGCGGCGGCATGCAGCCTCCCCCAGGCCCAGGGCCTCACCTCGTCATTCCCGCAGAGCTCCATGGCACTGCCCAGCACCACCAGGCTTGTCACCTGCCTCCGCAGGGCCGGCGCTGGAACGGCTGGCTCCCACGGCGGCCGGCCGGCGCAGGGCACAGGGGCCCTGGCAGGCTGTGCGCTCCCGCTCCAGCTCCTGCAGCTCCCCAGCCGGCCCCAGCACCCCGCAGCTGCTGCAGCACTGAGTGGGAGAGGAGAGTGCTGAGCTCCCAGCCCCAGCCCTTCTTTGATGCCGCCTTAGTAAGCCCCCACCCTGTACTTCCCCTCTCTCTGTCTCTGTCTCATCAGGTGGGGGTGATCTTCCTGGCCCTGTCATTCCCAGGGCTGCTGGGAGGGTCGAGAGCACCACGAGTGAGAAAAGCCTTCAGAGAGTAACTGGATTCTGTGGACACACCAGACAAATTGCCATTATCATGCCCGAGTCTTCACCTGCCGTGGATCCACGCCCTTTCCTATGTCGTTTTTTGCAAGTCCTGTCTACACCCCCACCCCTGGCTCTGAGCTCATAAAGCTTGCTTTGGCCAACAGGATGAGAGCATGCTGTGTTCCAGCACAGGCCTAAAGAGAACCTGCTCACTTCTACCTGACCTGCTCCTCTGTCATCATCATAAGAACATGCCAGGCTAGCCCACTGGTCCTGGGAGGATGACAAGAGACTCCAGGAATCAAGGGGACCCAACCGAGCCCCACCTACTGGGACCGCCCCAGATCAGCCAGTGCCCACTGGAGCAGCTGAGTTCAGCAGAGCCCTCCAGCCAGACCCGTCCTAGATCAGCCAGCCCAGAGAACCCACAGGCTGAAGCTAAACAATGGCATTTCAGTGAAACCCTGAGATGTCAGGATTGTGTCCATTAACAATAGAAAACTGATCAACACATTGGTACCAGAGTAGGTGCCACCATAACAAGGACCTGTGAAATATGATTTTGGTTCTAAGACCAGGCAGAGGACACTGAGGAGGCTGGAAAGATGAAAACCCATGTTATGTAGTGCAATAGCACAGGAGAAAGAAAACAGACCTAATGAACTTATGGGCACCATGCCTGTAATCCAGCACTCTGGGAGGCTGAGGTAAGAGGATCACTTGAAGTCAGGAGTTCAAGACCAGACTGAGCAAGAGTGAGACCCCGTCTCTATTAAAAATATAAAAAATAATTAGCTGGGGCAACTAAAAACAGAAAAAATTAGCCAGGCATGATAGCATACACTTGTAGTCCCAGCTACTCAGGAGGCTGAGGCAGGAGGATAGTGTGAGCCCAGGAGTTTGAGGTTTCTGTGAGCTAGGTTGATGCTACGGCACTCTAGCCTGGGCAACAGAATGAGACTCTGTCTCAAAAAAAAAAAAAAAAAACAACTTATGGACCTAAGCAAAGTAATCTCCAAAAGTTGAAAGCATGAACTGGTTGCTTTTAGCTGAGTATTCTAAGCTTACTGTGAGTCATGAGCTCAAAAAAGAACCAGCCAGTTTGCAAGTGGAATTCAGAGAAAACAAAATTTAATGAATTTTAATATGTTCCAGAAATTTCTGTGTTAAAAACAAAAAAACTTTTTCTCATCTCTAGCCTCTCTAGCTAGCAAAGGAGTCTCAAGTTACATTACAGCCTGAGAACAAAGACGGAATCCACAGCACAGCCAGGAAGCTGGCCACTCAGAATAGAGGTCAAATCAAGGGTGTGGCTTAAAGCAGAGCCTCATAAAGGCTCATGGCTGGAAAAGGGGGTGTAAGGCTGTACTGGCTCAAGTTACAGTAGTTAGGTCTTGGGCGAGAATCGTGGGTGTGGCTCATTAGCACATAAATAAATCAAATACATAGATAACTCACATGGTTTTTGAAAAAGTTGTGTTGGCAAAAGCTCTGCCAGTTTGGGACGAAAAGAGGCTAGAACAGTTTGAAATATAAAGACTTCTGTGCCTTAATTTTCTATAGCCAGGAAGCAGGCTGAGAAATGGGCTCAACCACCAAAAGCAGCACACCTTGCAGCGCCCTCTTCAGAAGGTGTCAAGAAAGGTGACAGAAAAGGAAAGCCATCTCACAGGGCAGAAGCCAGAACCACGGAGACCAATGGCCTGTGGGTGGGGGATGTGGAGCCACAGCTTGATCAAGGTAGTTCCCCACCCCAAAGGTGAGGGACTTGGCAGTAATTCCTCAAGGGCACTTTAGGATTTTATGGATCAGTGACTGCTCTGTGCCTTCCTTGCTTCTTCATTTTTGAAATGAGTATGAATTCTGGGGACCTTGTGTCTCTTTTCGCCACTGTATGCTGCATGCGACAGGGGAAGACTTGTCTGCTTAGATCCGAGGGCTCTGGTTGACACTCTGGACTCTGAATCCAGCAATCTGAGTTCCTATCTCGGTGGAACCTCCATTTTTTAAAAATAAAAAATAAAAATATAAATAAAAAAATATAAAGATCCTAGGGCTCTGGATCAAGAAAAGGCACATACAGACTTGATGTGATCTTAAGATCCAGAGCTTCAAGCCTGATACCATGATTGGATGAGACGTGGGTTGGTCGGGGCTGGGCTGGGATTGATCACAGTTTGCACAGGGGGAGACATAAACAGTAATTGCAGCCGTGGCAGCAAACTGAGAAGAGCACATTCATGGGCCCTGGTCTTCACCTCTCCCTGAGTCCATGCCCCCAGCCCTCAGTTTCCCCATCGCTTGACCCTGGACTCAGCAGCATGACTCCTGATGGAATGTTAATGCCACGAAGCGACCAAAGGTTGGGAAAGTGCTTAGACAGCTGGATTTGCTTTCCTGAGCCTCTAGCATCACCATAACAAGAACATTCCTGGGCTGGCTCCTTGGTACCAAGAGTGAGAGGAGAGACGCAGAGCCCCGGCTGCCCCCACAGCGCCATGTGCCAGCCCAGCTGAAATGAGCAAGCTGCGCAGCCAGCCCTGTGAGTAAATGAGTAAAAGCTGCAGTAAATGATTGTTGTTTTAAGCCAGAGATTTTGCAATTGTTCGCTGGGTCCCTGGGCTTCTTTCCTGTAGCCATAGTTAACTGACAAGACCATCATCACCCAGGTGGCACTGGGCAGGAGGGGTCTTGCACAGGTGTTTTGCCATGCGTGCTTGTGTGTGTGTCCCCCTCTCTCTTTCTCTGCACCATCCTGCAGAGCGCCTAAACAGACTGGGTGTGATCCAGCCCCCTGCCTGGCATTTAGCAGGGTTCCTTGATAAAAAGTTGTTTTTTTTTTTGAGACAGAGTCTCGCTTTGTTGCCCAGGATAGAGTGAGTGCCGTGGCGTCAGCCTAGCTCACAGCAACCTCAAACTCCTGAGCTCAAGCAATCCTGCTGCCTCAGCCTCCCGGGTAGCTGGGACTACAGGCATGCACCACCATGCCCGGCTAATTTTTTCTATATATTTTTAGTTGACCAATTAATTTCTTTCTATTTTTAGTAGAGATGGGGTCTCACTCTTGCTCAGACCTTGAGCAATCTGCCTGCCTTGGCCTCCCAGAGTGCTAGGATTACAGGCGTGAGCCACCGCGCCCGGCCTGATAAAGAGTTTTTAAGGGATGTATGGCTTGATCGTGAAATCAAGGCACAAAGAGACAGATAGCTTTTCCATGATAAACGAAACCCAAGAAATGGGGGCCCATGTACTCTGGTAAGATGCACCCCTTGGTCAAGATACTCTGGGGGCTCAAGGGTGGGAACTCATCTGCCCGGCAGGTGGCAGTGTCCCCACGGTCAGTGAGGAGGTAGCGTGGGCTCTCGGGGAGCAGAGGCAGGGAGGCGAGCTGGACTGCCCCGGGCACCAGGCAGCTGGCCAGTAGCAGGGGCCAGGCCTGAGGGCCACCCAGGAGCTCCCTGGAGAGGCCAGGCCTGGTGCTCCTTGCAAGAGCCCTGCATGCCTCTCCCCCAGCCCTCTCCCCCTGCCCCCCTGCCCACAGGCCTGCAGAGGGTCTGCACCAACCGTGCCTCTTCCTATCCAGCTCTGGGTCTGGACATCAAGACCCCTCCCACCCAGTTAGGGACCAAGAGAGGGCAGTGCCACTGTGCCATCTCATCCCTAGCAGCCCTCTGCCCAGGCGGCTAGGCTCTGCCCTCTCTTCTTTCTTCTGGGGTGACCAGGACACACTCCCCTTTAAAATTCCAAATCTTTAAGGCCGGGCGCGATGGCTCACACCTGTAATCCTAGCACTCTGGGAGGCCGAGGTGGGCAGATAGTTCGAGATCAGGAGTTTGAAACCAGCCTGAGCAAGAGCGAGACCCCGTCTCTACTAAAAATAGAAAGAAATTAATTGGTCAACTAAAAAGACATAGAAAAGCTTAGCCGGGCATGGTGGTGCATGCCTGTAGTCCCAGCTACTCGGGAGGCTGAGGCAGGAGGATTGCATGAGCCCAGAGTTTTAGGTTGCTGTGAGCTAGGCTGACGCCACGGCACTCACTCTAGCCTGGGCAACAAAGCGAGACTCTGTCTCAAAAAAAATAAAATAAAAATAAAATCCCAAATCTTTGCCTTCTCCTCTGTAAAGGCCTGGCCTTTGCTCTCCGACCCGGGGAGGATGGGAAAAGGAGACTCGCACTGAAGCGCGTTGCCTGGTACCTGCTTTGGGTGTTGGCCAGAGGGACGTGGGCTCACTTGATGCAAAGAAGCGACGCCCTAACCCACTTGGCTGTCGGGGACAGAGTCGGGCGGAAGGGTTTTCACAGGCGTCTCTGACACCACCCAATGCATGTGGGGGAGGGCGCTTACCTGAGTCCAACCACCTGTCCCGTCACCATCCCCAGAGCTGTGAAGATGGCTGAGGTCAAGGCCACGGTTCCTCGGAGCTCCTTGGGGGCACTCTCCCCCAGGTACATGGGCTGGACACTCATGCTCACACCTGGACACATACACAGCAGGATCACGTCAGCCACCAGGTGGGACCCCAGCCCCAGCCCTCAGGACTTCTGAGAGAGATGTTTTCTCAGATCAGCTTCCATCCTGGTCAGGTTCCATGGAATCTTCCTGGGTCCCGTCCCTGGGACCTGGGTGTGAAGGGCTCTAGGGGGCTGGGGGGGGGCAGAGGGCAGGACCGCAGCCTGGATGCCCCCCAGCTGTGCCGGTGACCATGCCAGTGCTGCCACTGACCACTGCTGTAGGTTCTCACCTCCCCCAGCAGTCCCTGGCACCTGCACAGCCAGTGGGAAACAGCTGGACAGTGCACCCTGCCCTCCCCAGATAGTGGCAAATGGCAAAGGCTAGGACGCCACAGTCTCAGGGCACCATGCACCCGGGGACGCTGCAGGGACCGCGGCTGTATCCACCTCCCTGACCTGGAACCAGGAAGTACCTCCCATCAAGGCCCTGCCCTTTTCCTACATGGTGGGCAGAGGGACCTGGGAGGGCCGCTCTGTTGACTGCCTGGGAGCCCAGAGGTGCCCTGCACTCCCGCAGACACCCCGAGAGGGAAGTCCTTCTCTGCTGGGCACTGGGGCACGAAGGCAGAGTCTGACCTGGCTCCTGTCCCTAGAGCGTGGGCTGCTCTTGGTGACTCACTTTTCACAAACAGAATGTGGCAAAACCGATGGCGTATGTGTTCTGGAATTAGAGCTCCCTCCTTGCACTCGCTGCCTCCGTCTCTGCCTGTCTCTCCCTGTCGGATCACTCACTCTGTCTCTACCTGTCTCTCCCTGTCAGGTCATTCACTCTGTCTCCGCCTGTCTCTCCCTGTCAGGTCACTCACTCTGTCTCCGCCTGTCTCTCCCTGTCAGGTCACTCACTCTGTCTCCGCCTGTCTCTCCCTGTCAGGTCACTCACTCTGTCTCTGCCTGTCTTTCCCTGTCAGGTCACTCACTCTGTCTCTGCCTGTCTCTCCCTGTCAGGTCACTCACTCTGTCTCTGCCTGTCTCTCCTGTCAGGTCACTCACTCTGTCTCTGCCTGTCTCTCCCTGTCAGGTCACTCACTCTGTCTCTGCCTGTCTCTCCCTGTCAGGTCACTCACTCTGTCTCTGCCTGTCTCTCCTGTCAGGTCACTCACTCTGTCTCTGCCTGTCTCTCCCTGTCAGGTCACTCACTCTGTCTCTGCCTGTCTTTCCCTGTCAGGTCACTCACTCTGTCTCTGCCTGTCTCTCCCTGTCAGGTCACTCACTCTGTCTCTGCCTGTCTCTCCCTGTCAGGTCACTCACTCTGTCTCTGCCTGTCTCTCCTGTCAGGTCACTCACTCTGTCTCTGCCTGTCTCTCCTGTCAGGTCACTCACTCTGTCTCTGCCTGTCTTTCCCTGTCAGATCACTCACTCTGGAGGACGCCAGCTGCCATGTCGTCAGAACCCACCCTCAAGCGGCCCTACGGAGGGACCTGCAGGGTGAGCAGCTGAGATCTCCCGCCAACGGCAAGTGGGAGCCTTTGGGGACGGGGGTCCCCAGCCCCAGCCCCAGCCACACCTTCCGATGACTGCGGCCTGGCCGACAGCCGCAGGAGAGACCCCCATGCAGAAGTACTCAGCTAAGGCATTCCCCGGTTCCTGACCCACCGATGCTAGGAGATTGTAACTGTTGGTTGTTTTAAACCACTAAATTTTGGGGTACTTTGTTTCACAGGTATAGATAACTAATACGACCAGCAACACCTGGCTGTATAAACAGCTCGAGGTCAAGAGATGACTTGTTGATTGGAGCACCCCAAAGCCCTGGTAGATGTCCTCAAAATTCCACTCCCTGACATGATAAGCCCCAGAAACTGAGGCAGCCCTAACAGGCTACTCTGTCTCTGTAGGGAAGATCAAAGAACTCATCCTGTATTCCTTTACACCTTGGCTGCCAGGAAACTAGAGTGTTGCTCAAACCTGGGACCTCTGTCAGTGTAAGTCTGAAGATGTTTGTTCCCCCAACCCTGCATGACTTTTTCATTTTTCTACATCTACTTTAAATGCCTCGTTATAAGCCTTTTAAGGCTTATAAGCCTTTTAAGATAAACCATATTTCATCATTCTGCAAAAAAAGGTGGGTATAAGTAAGAAATAAATCAATGAATAAAGGACATAGATGAAGGAAGGAAAGAAGCACAGGGGTTGATGGATAGGTGGGAGCAGCGAGGCGCGGCGATGCCCCGCCACACCTGTGCTGACGCCACCAGCGCCGTCCCAGCGCGAGCATCTCGAAGGAGCCGGCTTTGCGGCTGAAGCCAAACGGGACCGCTGCGGCCACCACAAAGGTGTTATTCACCAAAAGGGACTTCTTCCTGGGGAGGGAGACACAGCGGGAGGGGCTCCAGTTCAGCCTGGAGGGACAATCCCTGGGGACCCCTCTTTGCAGCTCCAGCCAGCCCTGATCAGACACACAGACGTGTCATCACACACACCACCAGCATGGAAAAGGGCGCCACCTGCCCAGGCTCCCTGGGGTGCGCTGTGACCACCTCCCTCCTGGCCCACAACACACCCCCAAATTACTCTCCTGGCTGCTGTGCCACAGCTCAAAATAATGGAATTTATGTTTTATGGCTTTTCCCCTTCAGATTAAGCACTGTTCTCCCCAAACTTTGTAAAATGACGAGACTAATATGCAAGTTTTCAGACTCAGTAAGACCCTAGGGAGGGAGAAATTCGCAGAAAGTCAAACACAGTTCCCTCACATTGTCATCCAGTACAGAGTCACTCGACAGAACCTCCAGGGTGGCTGGATGCCTTGGCCAATGAGACAGGCAGCAAACCAAGGAAGGACGTTGGACATGTCACCTGTCCCACCATGGCGAAGCACTACCTCTGGCTCCTGCTGCTCAGCTCAGACATGCCGCCACGCACATCCCCCAGGACAGCCCACGGGGCTGGCTGGGAAAGTGAGGACCGGAAGAGGCCAATGTCCCGCTCAGAGCCAGCAGCACGCCCATGACAGGACACGAGCCAAAGCTCGGGACCCACACGTCTCAGGAATGAAAACTGACAGTGGATTACAATGAACTTGATCCAGTGGTAACTCCAATTGTACCTAATAATTATAATTGCAATAATATATGGGTTTCCTCAGTGGGATTAATAAATTCCATGAATAATAATAAGTATTCTGATCTGGTAAATGCATTTTGCTCCATTTCAATACACAGACAATGACAGAAACACTAAGCTTTCACCTGGCAGGGGCAGTAACACACCTTTACCAACCTGCCCTACGTGTCTAGGGGCTCTCCTAGGGTGTCCTGCTGGCCCACTACTTGGATGAGTTCCTACCAGAAGGACCCAGAGAAGAGGAAGCAGCAAGTGCACTTGGCATCTCAGTAGGGCACACGTACAAGCAGGACACGGAGTGGAAGATCAAAGGCTGCCACATCCATGCAGTCCCTGAGGTTGAGCGGACTCAGGTATGTCAGCACAGTTACTCCAAAGTGCATGACGAATTGCTGCACCTTGGTTGGCCTTCCTCTAAGAAGGAGGGACAAATCTCAGAGAGCGTCTTTCCATTTTGGAGACAGTGTATACCACGTTGGGTGGCATGATCTGACACGTTTGTCCGGTGACTTGAAAACCTGGTAGCTTTGAGTGGCACTAAGCAAGAGGGGCCTTCTCTAGTGGGTGCAGGCCAAGTTCAAGGAGCTCTGCCACTCAACCCTTCAGCCCAGAAGTCCTGTGGTGCTCAAAGTGTCTGTGGCAGTTTATATACTCTAAATGAAGAATCACAATGCAAAACCTAAGGTTTTTGAGTAAAGCTTCTCTATTTCAGCAAATTACTTCTTAATGACAATAGCTTCTGGCCTTGTCACTAGGCCCTAGTGGGGCATAAATGCCAGACTGTTGGACACAGGTAGCCATGTACCCGTCGTTAACTGGGTGCTATGACTCTCTTCTGCTAAGGTTGAGTGAGCCCAGTAGCACCCCACCACTGAATAGAAGTGGTATATGCCAAACTTGCCCTACGTGGGCCCCAAAGTTTCCAATGGATACCTTCTCACATCAGCTTGGCTCTAAAAGATACTGAAGGAGTTAAACTCTTCCTACAGAAGGACTTTAAATGTGGAATTTTATCCCTTTTTCAAAGGGTTTGGTTGGACAAAGTCTTAGACAAAGCAGAATTTGAAGACTGGTTTCCAGGAAGTGTAGGGGAAGGGTAAGTGGATGGAATTCTTAGCCTTACCCCAGAGCCCAAGAAATACACATTGATGTTTTTCTGCTCACCAAGGTCTCTGCCATGCAAAGAGGCCTTTTATAACCAGACTGGGTGCCAGGGCGGGGGGAGAACGGGACAGCCCTCTCTGTAGATGGCATCCAACTGCCTTTGTGGCCAGCCCAGCCCAGTGCTTTCTTTATTGGCTTATAAACAGTAGGGTAGCAAGGACGTAAGACACATATGGGCTCCTCAACACAGGCTTCCTGTCACCAAGATAACAACCTGTTATGCTGCACAACCAACCCTGAGTACCCAGTAATGGCAACAAATTTCAGGGCTCCAGTCAGCTACCGAGAGGAAAAACTACACTGCATCCCGCACTGGGGGCTAGTCATTCATGGGACATAAGTGGAATGGGCGTAGGTGGTGAATTCAAAGTTTCTGTCCCTCCCCTTCCTGCTTACGCCAGCTGCCCCAGCGACCAGTGCGTATTCAGGCAACAGTGACTGCCCCCTCCTTTTGTGCAGGAGCAGCCCCACCTTTGTTTGGGACTGTGCCCCTACTCCACATGTTTCAGGTGTGAACCCCAAGAGTCTAGCCCAGGCTTGGTGGGCCTGCTCTCCACGGCGGTGCTATGGTTTGGATGTTTGTGTCCCCTCCAAGATTCATGTTGAAACTCAATCCCCAAAGCAACAGTGGTAAGAAGTGGGGCCTCTAGGAGGTGATGAGGCCTCAAGGGCTCCACCCTCCTGCTCAGATTCGTGCTTTATGAAAGGGCTGGAGGGAGCCAGCAAGGCCTTTTTTGCCTTTTGCCCTTTCCCCTTCTGCCACGTGAGGACACATCATTTGCTCTTCCAGCCATGCGAGGACACAGGGACAAGGCGCCATCTCGGGAGCAGAAAGAGCAGCCCTCAGCTTACGCCAAATCTGTCGGTGTCTTGGTTTTGGACTTCCTGGCATCCAGAACTGTGAGAAGAGGAATTTTTGTTTTTTATAAATTATCCAGCCTCAGTTGTTTTGTTGTGGCAGCAGAACTGGACTAAGATGGCTAGTGACCCAGTGCTGGCAATGAAACACGACAACTTCTTTGAAAGGTTTGTTTTTTTTTTTTCCTTTCTTTCTGATCGTTAGTATTGGCCAGGAAGAAATTGCCCTTGTGCTGGGTATTGTCCCACCTGGGCGAGGCACTGCTGTCACTTTCCAACTATAGCTCTGAGGACAAAGATGACCCACATGGAGGTTTCAGCTAAGGGAATCCCAGAGGGGCAGATCTGGAGTATTGATGGAGCCCTAAAGTCACCCACCTGTAGGCTCCCTGTTGTGTGAATTAAAGGATCTCCTATTGTTTTAGCCAACTGAGGCCTGGGTTTTGTTCTTTGCATTTGAAGACATCTGACCAGACACACAATACACAAACCTCATGCCCATGCAATTTCGCATCCAACCCAGGAAGAAGGGCTGGTTCCCATGGATCCCATCACTGCACCATGGCACCCACCATCCAGAAGCAGATGGTCAGAGAGTTTAACAGCCCACTGAAGACCGCACACCATCAGCACCACCAAGCCACTCAAGAACGAACATTTAGGCCGGGCGCTCTGGCTCACGCCTGTAATCCTAGCTCTTGGGAGGCCGAGGCGGGCGGATTGCTCAAGGTCAGGAGTTCAAAACCAGCCTGAGCAAGAGCGAGACCCCGTCTCTACTATAAATAGAAAGAAATTAATTGGCCAACTGATATATATATAAAAAATTAGCCGGGCATGGTGGCGCATGCCTGTAGTCCCAGCTACTCGGAAGGCTGAGGCAGAAGGATCACTCGAGCCCAGGAGTTTGAGGTTGCTGTGAGCTAGGCTGACGCCACAGCACTCACTCTAGCCTGGACAACAAAGGGAGACTCTGTCTCAAAAAAAAAAAAAAAAGAACGAACATTTGGATCATCATGATGGGAAAAGAGCCTCATCCAGTTGAAGTGCTGGCCTGAGACGAGAGTGGAAAACTGGGAATCGAAGTCATATAATAAGCAATGGCCTGTGGCCAATTGCAAAAACAGGGATAGAACCTTTACTTATATTTCCAGGCTTTCTGTATTATATGCTTTAAAATAAACTCACCAACTACTTTCTTTTTCCTTAATTAGTTTTTTCCTTCTTTCTTCTTTCCTCCTCCTATAGGGTGCCATGAAGGCAGGTGAGCTGACTATTAGGTGCAGAATATCAAAAGAGGCTAACTGTGGGTTGGCAGAAGAACGATGACCACGTGAAACCTTGTGCTCAGGAAGGACACCTCCATCACACTGCCCCTGGTGGTGGTGGCAAGACAGTGCCCTGAGCGACCCTGCTCCAGGAGGGATGAACACAGATGCTGGTGTGCATGAGACGACGGAGTGACGTTAAGTGAGGGCACTTAGGGAGCTGAACATAGGAAGGAAGGTGTCTACACATGCTGGTGGTGAGCAAAGGGGTGGACTGTGGTAGCCATTTGTTTTTCTGCCCAGCATGGTCTCTTTCCCACATCACAGGTGTAGTCATGTGACCCAAGGTAGACCAATAACAACTTGTTATCCTGGATTCTGGATATTTGCTTTAGTTTGGAGGTTGGTCCCCTCCAAACTCCATGTTGAAATTTGATCCCCAAAGTTGGGTGGTGGGGCCTAATGGGAAGTGTTTGGGTCACGGGACCAGATCCCTTGTGAATAGATGAATGTCCTCCTCAGGGATGAGTGAGCCTCACTCTACTAGTTCCCAAGAGAGCTGGTTCCCGAGAGAGCCTGGCACCTCCTCCTTCAACTCTCGCCCTCTTTCGCCATGTGACCTCTGCACACACTGGCTTCCCTTCACCTACCGCCATGAGTGCCCGAGGCCCTCAGAAGCAGCTGCCCAATCTCAAACTTTCTAACTATCGGAATCACGAGCCAATAAGCCTTTTTTCTTATCTGGGCACTTTTTTCTTAAAGTGCCCAGTCCCAGGTATTCCTTTATAGCAACACAAAACGGACTAAGACAACCTTGAATGAAGATGTTGGAGAAAGAACATGGCTGGAGCTGATTGTGCTGAAGGGTTACTCGCTAGAAGGACAGTCCAAAGCTCAGGCTGTCAATACCCTCAGCACCGCCTTGGTTTCTTGGTTTCCCTTTGCAAGGCCTGCATTTTAAGCACTTCCTTTCATTCTATGAGCTGCCCCAGTATCCTTCCAGTTATAATAATTTTTGATGACATTAGCCACAATCAGTTTTTGTTGTTTGCAACCCAAGAACCACATCAGACACAAAGGAGGAAAAGCAAGGCCCAGGGAGAAAATACTCACTTAAGGTCAAGCAACACTTGTTGGCAGACCTGGAATTATTAACAGAAACCAGGAGTCCTCCCTCCCTCGCAGCATAGTCTCTTTCCCCTCTCAAATCTCCTCATATTGACTCTCAGGTGAAACCTCAGGCAGAGGTCAGCTCCTCACCGCCTCTTACTCCGCCTGAGGTTTCACCTGAGAGTTTCACCACGTTCCTCAGCCTGCAGCCTGGGGTGCCCTTCATTAACACCATTCAGGGGTGCACAGGATGCACTTGCCTTCCCAATGTGATGGCTAAAGGTCCTGCAAGCAAAGCTCCAAAGAGGCCCCCCGAGGGGTAGAGAGACACGATGAGGGACCACACAAGCAGAATCAGGTGGTCAGGCAGTGGCCTGCCAGTACGTACCCACCATGTCTCATCGGTGAATTCCTGAATGTGCTGTGGACAGAGATGCCAGTCAGCCTCCTGAGGATGGGGGTGGTAGACAAGACAGGTCTTCTCCCCACAGGGCTCCAGGCCTCTGCAGAACAGACACCAAGGACGGGTGCCAGGTTTCCTGAGCTCAATTTAATATAATTCTGACACTGCCCACCTGGAAATGGCATCAAATCCCACAAGTCAAAGGGCTCAGTCCTACAAGACTGAGTCCCCACAAGCCCCTGCTTCAGATGCCAATTCCAAGTCCAGGCCTCCTGTCGTTCCAACCACCAGCCATAACTTGGGGGTTGCTGCAACCCTCTTCTTGAGTTTAATAATTTGCTACAATGGCCCACAGAATTCAGGAATGCATTTTACATACATGTACTAGTTTATTATGAAGGATACAACTCAGAACAGCCAGATGGGAGAAATACAAAGTGCAAGGTCTTGGGGGTCGTTGGCGCTCAGAGCTTCCATGCCCTCCCCAGGAGCACCACCCTCCCGGGAGCACCACCCTCCCCAGGAGCACCACCCTCCCAGAGCCTTGGTGTGTTCACATACTCGGAAGCTCATCAAATTGAGTTTTTAAAGAGTTTTTATACAGCTTGATCTTCGGCCTTCATTCCCAAATGTTCCAACCCTCTAATCACTTGGTCCTTCTGGTGACCAGCTCCACCCTAAGATCATCTGGTGGCCCACCCTAAGTCACCTCATTAGCATAAACTCAGGTCTGACCAAAAGGGGCCCATTATGAATAACAAGAGATGCTTCACAGGAAATTCCACAGGTTTTAGGAGCTCTGCGCCCAAGTGCAAAGATCTAACACGTTTCTTATTACACCACGCACTCTCGGAATCTGTCACCCCCCTTCCTACCCTGCTGTTGCCCCAGGAAGCCACCTCCACAGCCCACACCAGGGGCTTGCTGTTGGACCCGACCCAGGGTGAAGACCAGCAGGACATTGGAGGAGGGAGGGGCGGAGTGTTTGTACCCCACTTCCTCCCTCCCTCGGCCAGCTGCGACACTTCTCTCCAGGGCGCCATGTCACAGGGTGCTTTCCTTCCCCTTGCCCCTTTGGGGTGCTGAAACTACCCTTTATAAAATTAATAAAAGGCCACAAGGTGGGAACTGTGGTAGGGGCCTGAACTCTGCAAAGGTATGGGCATAGTTAAAATATATATAACCAGCCACTGTCCCCTAGTTTGCTTTCCTATAATTGCTACTCAGGAGTCACATAGCTGATGCTCATAAAGATTATTAACTTTCTTAATTACTCCCGTAGATAATATCACCCTTGTGGAGCCTAAGGCTACCTTCTGAGACATCTCCTAGGCCCTGCACTTCAGTGGATTGGCTGACCTGCCTAGCGCAGCGGCTCCTACCAGGGAACTGACGAGGCACAAGAAGACGTTTCTACACCTCTGTGGTTCTACCTTGAGCCCAACCAATCAGCAGACCCACTGCCTAGCCCTTTGCCTGCCAAACTGTCTTCAAAAACCCTTTATCCCAAATTCTCAGAGAATCAGACATGAGAACTTCCTCCCCTCTCCTCGCATGGCACCTGCACTATGGACTCTGTGCCGTGGCAGCCGTGCATCCGCACTGTCCCTTGCCGGAGTGCTCTCTCCACCCCACTGAATCCTCTGCTAATTCTCCTTTGTGGTACCTAAACCTACTGGACTTATCTGGAGTGTGCCAGTGTTTCCTTGAGACCCTGACTGTGACGAGCCCTCACAGTGCTCTGTTAGACAGACATCACTTTTCTCATTGACAGTACTTGGAAGCAGGCCCTGAGAGGTGAAAGGGCTTGCCCATAGCCTCAGCCACAGGTCAGGGCTTGCACCCAGCTAGTTCCCAGACCCCCACCCCAAATGGTGAAACCTCAGGTGACTGAACATCAGCCACATGGTTAGCAAAGCCTGTGCCTGGGGAAGACCTGGACACCCTTCTCTTGGTGACAGATGAAATGTCAGTCTTAGGCCTCCTGACAGAATGTGGGTCCAGGTGTCGGATCAGCTCTCCCTGCCCCAGCCAGCTCAGAGTGATGGCTGTCAGCCTGCGGTCTGCCAGCTGCCTCTGGGGGGAGGAACTGTCCAGGAGAGCTGGGACCAGGGCCAGTCTCCTCTGAATTTGGCTGGAACCCCTCAAGAGTGACCACTGTGGACCACAGGGGTTCACGCCTGTAATCTCAGAGACTCAGGAGGCTGAGACAGGAGGATCTCTCCAGCCCAGGAGATGGAGGCTACAGTGAGCTATGACTGCATCACTGTACTCCAGCCTGGGCAACAGAGCAAGATCCTGTCTCTTAAAAAAGAATGACCATTGGCGGCCGGGCACGGTGGCTCACGCCTGTAATCCTAGCTCTCTGGGAGGCCAAGGTGGGCGGATTGCTCAAGGTCAGGAGTTCAAAACCAGCCTGAGCAAGACCCCGTCTCTACCATAAAAAATAGAAAGAAATTAATTGGCAAACTGATATATATACAAAAAATTAGCCGGGCATGGTGGCACATGCCTATAGTCCCAGCTACTCGGGAGGCTGAGGCAATAGGATCGCTTGAGCCCAGGAGTTTGAGGTTGCTGTGAGCCAGGCTGACGCCACGGCACTCACTCTAGCCTGGACAACAAAGTGAGACTCTGTCTCAAAAAAAAAAAAAAAAAAAAAAAAAAAAGAATGACCATTGAGATTGTTGATAAAATAAAGAGTCTCTCCTTGACCAAACTCTACTTATTCAATATCTGATCCCCCTTTAAATCATTTTTTTTAATTTTTTAAATTTTTTTGTAGAGACAGTGTCCTACTGTGTTGCCCAGGCTGGTTTCAAACTCAAGCAATCCTCCCACCTGGGCAGCCTCCAGAGTCACTGGCACAACAGGTGAGAAACACCAGGCCTCCTTGAAATCTAGTCCAGTTCCTCATCCTCCGCCACCCCCATGACATCTGGTCATCCCGCTTGCCTTCAGCAAGAGTCCTGTTAGGACAGTCTAGCCAGAGTCCCCCAACCCTGCTGTTTCTTCTTAGTCATGTTCCATCCACTGACCCCACCCTGATCTTTGGCTACAAATTCCCACTTGTCCATGATGTATTCGAGTTGAGTTCAATCGCCCTCCCCCACTGCAGGACCCTTTGGCTGTGGTCCTGCATCTATTGCTATGGTCTCCTGTGAATAAAGTCTTCTTTACTGCACTTGGACAAGTGTCATTGAATAATTTTTTTTAACAGTTAGAAGAGTATTTTTATTTTGAGACAGAGTCTCACTCTGTTGCCCTGGCTAGAGTGAGTGCTGTGGCGTCAGCCTAGCTCACAGCAACCTCAAACTCCTGGGCTCAAGCGATCCTGCTGCCTCAGCCTCCCGAGCAGCTGGTACTACAGGCATGCACCACCATGCCCGGCTAATTTTTTCTATATATTTTTAGTTGGCCAATTAATTTCTTTCTATTTTTAGTAGAGACGGGGTCTCGCTCTTGGGAAGGCTGGTTTCGAACTCCTGACCTTGAGCGATCCACCCGCCTCGGCCTCCCAGGGTGCTAGGATTACAGGTGTGAGCCACTGCGCCTGACCTAGAAGAATATTTTTAAACACCATTCAGTGGAGCAGGGAGAATCTCCTTGGCGGGGCTTGGTGACAGCCCACGGGGTGGGGGGTTCTGAGAGTGCCCCACACGGACGGAGCCCTCTCCGTCTGTGTCTGCACTGGAGGAGGCGCTCAAATGCCTGATGAACGAACAAATAAACACACACACACAGCCAGCCCAGGCCTCCCTTTGTAAACTGTTCCATTTCATCCTTCCTTTAAGGGGCACTGGGCTGTTTCTGCCCAATATAACCCATCTCCAGCAGACACACATGCCTTCGGGGGAAGATCTCTCCCATGGTCAGTTACAGCTCCGTGTGTCCCTCTAAAGGTGATCACCTGACCCAGACCTGACCAATCTAGTATTCTACCCTCCTGACCACATGACTGGTCTAGGAGTGGGCATGTGATCCAAACCAGCCAGAACTTTCCCAGAACTTTCTGCTAAAACTGGGAAGGCTTTTGGTTGGGGGAGGGGGAGGGGTATTCCCAGCTGGCAAGAAGCTGCTCTTTGCCCACTGGGTATGAGAACAAGGCTGGGCTGGGGAGCCACAGTTCTGTCCCAGGGGCTGGCTCCTGCAGCTCTCCCCCTCTGTGTAAAGCCCATCACATCATTCCCAGCTTCATGACCAGACACTAAGAGCAAACCAGCAGGAGAAATGAGATGGGCACAAAACAGCCAACACACAACCTGAGTGAGAACAGACTGCACCAAGGTCTGGGGGGGGGGCGGGGAGGAAGGCTTCAGGAAGGAGGTGGTATCTGGGGTGGCCTTCTGCATGTGCGGCGGAATGGAAGGAGGCTTCGAGGACAGGCTGTATCATGGACGTTTGGGGAGCTACCTTTAACTTGCTTTGGTATCAGGTTGGGGGGAGGTAGGAGACAGGTGAGGTTCTGATTCCAGGAGACCTCGAACTTAAGGTGATTTAGCCTGTCCTTATTCCTGTAGGCACTGGGGAGCCACAGTATGTGTCTGGGCAAGTGAGTGCCTTGACAAACTTGAAGGAATCAGGAATGGGCGTGGCTGAAGGCAGGGAGGCCAGTGAGGAGGCTGGACCAGAGCAGGGCTGTAGCAGAGACCTGGGAGAACCGGCCGGATTCTAGGGCTAGCCAGGAAGGACTTGGCGTCACTGAAAGGGGAAGAGTAGAGTCAAGGCTGCCTCTTCATCACTAGGTAGGAGGTGCAGTCATCTGCTGAGATGAGGGACTCAGGAGGTCATGCAGATTTGGAGGAGGATGCAGAGCTCAGTGTGAACCTGCGGGAGCCTGTGGACAGCCCCGTGGAGAGGAACTTGTGGGAGACAGCGCCACCAAGTGGACGGAAGCTCCCCCAGCGAGCAGCTGTCAGCCTATACCTGGCACTCAGTGACAGTGAGCACGGAGGATACATACCAAGGTTGGGGCACTGATGATGGAGAGGTTGTAGCCAAACTGAAAAGTCCCACCAATGCCAGCTGCACAGTCAAGAGCAGGACCCTGCCCTGGACCTGAGGAGAGAGAAGAGGACACAGAGTGACCAACAACCACCTCCACCTCCCTCCCTGGGCCGCCCATCACAGCTTTGCAATTTAAATCAGGCAGTGATATCTTCACTTTGCAGATGAGGAAACTGAGTCACAGAGGGCAGGAGTTAGCTGGGTCACACGGCTGGCAAGTAGCAGAGAAACCCAAGCCTTCTGCTTGAGTCCAGGCCCCCATTCCACCCTCACCTCACCCACCCCTCACCAGCATTTTCCTGAGAGGGGCAGCAGTTCCTGGCCCACCTTGCTGGGCTGTTCCTGGGTATATCTGCTGTGTTTTGGGAGGACAGTCCCTGAGCTGGGGCCCCAGTAGAGGGAAGCTCTGCCTCCAGCAGGACAGGAGCCCCTAAACCCCAGTGACTCGGCCTGGAGAAATATGCTCCAGCAGAGTGGCCAGGCTCCAGGAACCTGGGCCGAGCTTCCTTCTTTTGCCTCCCACCAGTGTGTTCCGCAAGGAGACTAAGAAAAGCTGCCACGTGGCCCTACAGGTGCAGGGACTTGGGGGCACAGAGAGCAGCAGAGAGGCAGCGTAGGTGGTGGAGGTACCTGGTCCCAGCTGTACCCCACTCCCTTGTCCTAAGTCACCTCCTCACCTGGACCTGGAAATAACAATGCCTGCCACCGGCTGGGTACATGTGAGTCACACACACTTGGTGCCATAAAGGACAGCTTTTCATCCCAGCGCAACACCCTTGAGTGGAGGGAGATTTCCTCCAGGCACCCAGCTGTGAGGACTCCGTACCCTGACACCCCATCCCACTTAGTTGGTGTTATTTTAGGGATTCCCAAAATTATAATTTTCCTTTTATGATTTTTAATTACAAAATGACATTTTTTGAAAATTCAATAGATACAAGTTCTCCACTCCCCCAAAGGTACAACAATGAAGTGCTCCCCTCAGATAGTCTCCTACACATTCACAAAGTAGTTGACTTTACAAAAATCAAATCATCAATCTCATCCCCCAAAATCATACTGGCAAATGGTCCTGCAGACTTAGGAGGCAGGAGGTGGAGTCACTGCTGAGATTGCAAGTCAAATTTGTTATGTTTGAGTACTTAAATACAAGTTTCATGAGAGAAGGATGTTTGACTAAAAATTTTCTGAGGAATTTCCAGAACCTGTGGACTATTGATTCACTCATCAGTCAAATACTGAGGGTCTGTCCCAGCCAGGAGGTGTGCTGGGGCAAGTACGGCTGGGGAAGAGACAGATGCATTCATCACTGGATGAGACACTGTGCTTGGGAGTGGAGGAGCAGAGGAAGTGGCTCTGGAGGGCAGGGTCCTGCTGATGACCTTGCCACAGGCCTCAAGACAGGGCAGCGACAGGGTCTCTGGCTGCCCATAGTTTCTAAAAGGCCTCAGTAACTTTCTCCTAAGCTGGAGGTCATAGGAGGAAGCTGGGCGAGAACCCCGGAGTCTGGTCCCACTGGGGACATGTTGTAGCTCCAAGGGGGCTGCATAAGAACACCCCCCCTTAGAGCAGACCTGAAGGAAGCAGAGAGACACAGTGCTTGATGACAACTGAGCCCACGTGGCAGGGGATGCTGACAGGTCTCCAAGGCCATAGGAAATTGTTTAATTTAAGAGCATGGAGATTGCCTAGTACTGTGTCTGGCCATGGCAAGCACCAAACATTAGCTATGATGGTGATTATTGATTCAGTGAGCAAATATCTACTGCCTCCCCACTATTGGCCAATAACCCTACTGTTCTAGGTCCTGAGGATATAGCAGTGAACAAAAGACAAAACCTGTGACCTCACGGAGCTTTCCTTGTAGCAGGGGAAGATAAGCAAAATACAGAGTATGTCAGTTGGTGCTACAGAGACTTAAAGCAGGGACGGGAGACAGGTAGTGTCTGAACATAGTGGTGCGGCAGGGCGCCAGGTCAGAGCCCAGAGGGAGTACCGAGGGGCAGGGAGCGAGGGTGGGAAACGGTCAAAGGATGGGGTGAGCGGGCAGGACTGCAGCGCTCCGGCCTGTCTGACCGCAGGACGCCAGGACGATACAGGTATCTCTGGGCGATGCTAGCTGGGATGTCCCAGGTCTGGCCACCTTGCCCTGGCGCACAGGCTGCCCCTGCCCATCTGGACCCAGCCCCTGCCTCACAAGCACAGCACTTCCATCCGTCTGACGCTTCTCTTAAGCCTCCTGGGTGGCTGCACCTGGTGTTAGGGCCTAGGGCCCATAGGTAGCCCATAACCAGCCATTAGCTTCTGTATTATGCTTGCTTGCTTGCTTAGGAGAGTGGGAAATTTTCAGCAGACCCTTATCTGACTCTGCACCTGACATCTCTCCTCTGCTAGCGTAATTAAGCTTAGAAACCAAGAAGGGCGGTGGTGCATGGCACAACTGCCACAAGATACAGCCGTTAGCCCAGGGTCGAAACGCCCCGGATCCCTGAGGCGCCTGACATGCTTCATGTACCTAGTGGAATGCGCTGAGGCTTAGATCACAGGATGCAGGATGTATTTCAACTAAGATTAATGTTGTCTGTAGTTAGGATACTTCAGAGGCTTCCTCTTGGCTGAATCTTAGCTGCAGCTGGTGACTCCTACAAAACCCATCTCAAGGCTCCAAACACCCCCCCTCAATGTGCTAAAACAAGGTAGAAATCTAAGATGAATGCTTTCTCTTGCTTTTGTAAAAGTGCTTGCTAATTAGATTTTTAGAGTGTGGTTTTTTTGCCTTTAAAAAAAGGGGCTGTTTTTCTCATCACTTCTCATCACTACTTTCTGTGCCCGCCACTCTGCAGGACAGGAGGAGTCCTGGCCAGTCAATAAAGACTCACAATTTGTCCCAATTCGGTTGCGAAGATGGTCTTTTCTCGCACTTCAGACCACAACACTGGCAGTTCACGAGGGTCTTGGACCCCTCATCGGAGACGCCCGGCCTGGGAGGGCTTCGGAAAGCAGACCTTTCCGACTGTGGGAGGGCACCACACTTTGGGCGGGAGAGAAGCCTACGAGGAGCGTCGCCCTCACGGAAACCCCAGTGGCCAGCGGCCAGCCGCCGGGCGCATGCGCGGAGAGAAGGGCGGAGCGAGTCCGAGCAGGCCGAGAATACCCGGCGCATGCGCGGCGAGCGTCGACGCGCCCAGGTCGGCCGAAACCGGAGCGGGGCGCGCAAGCGCAGTGCTGTTGAGGGAGGTCTGACAACAGGGCGCGCTCCACAATTACCCGCAGCCGCGGCGAGCCGGCTCGACTCAAGCGTAGGCGCAGTGGCGCTCAGAGCCGCTAGACTGCCGGCGGGGGACGCCTGAGGCGCATGCGCAGGCCCCCAGGTTGTTAAGTGGGCGGGCCTCGGCTGCAGGGGTGGGAAGGGTTCACCTGGGTCAGAGGCCGTAAGGGCGGCTCCTGCTCAGCCTGCATCCAGCCCTTCCCGCAGCTCTGAGTCTGAAAAGCTGCTCACTGCTTGCTCAGCCGGCTCATCTCCGCAGACCAGGAGGGAGGGCCGGTCCGCGGTCATCGATGCGGCCCGGGTCCCAGCTGGCGACGCTGTGCGCCGAGCTCCCGGGTCCCCCTGCCTCTCTGTCGCCTCTGGACCGACTCTGCGGGTCCCCGCCTGGCTCGCTGCCGGGCCTCGCCTGTGCGTCACCCTCCGCCCGGCCTCCTTTCCCACCACCGGGCGCCCCAGCTCCGGGAGCTGTCGGAGGGCTGAGCCCGGGATTCCGCACAGATGACAGCGCCCCCAGCCGCATCCCGCCGCCACCACTCCACCCCGCCACCACCACCCCACCCCCCAGCAACCGGCCCGACCGACACGCGATTGCATCTAGGGCCGACGCACCAAGACCCCCCTCCCCGTACTAACCCCACCCACCCCCACCGCCCGGCCCACCCACCCACCCCTCCCCCCACCCCCACCCCAACCCTCCACCCCACCCCCCGATACCACTCCAGAGCCCCCACACCCCCCACGCCCCGAGCTCGCGGCCACACCTCAGACCTCTCTCGGTTTCAGGCGTCCCCATCCCTCCCCCAGAGGAGGGGCAGAATCCGGAGGGACCGAGAGGCCGACCCACCTGTCTCTGGAGCGCGCTCTTCTGTCCGAGTGCCTTGGCAGAGTGCAGAGAGGGGAACCGGTCTCGAGTTGCCCCTCTCGGGTTGCCACCAGGGCATTCCTTGCGGGGAAGGCCGGTCCGCTTGTGGTCGGGCGCGCTGGGAGGTGAGGAACCAGAGTTCACTGGACCGGATTAACCTTTTATTCCTCAGGGCTTCTTGGACCCTGCATGGAATCCAGGAGTTGGACAAAGGCCAACTGAAACCAGACTTGCCAAAGATGCTGTTTGTGGTCACAGAAACATAAAGCTGGAAGTGACTTTAGGAAGTAATCTGAGCAAAAACTGTGACACCAGAGTAGGTTCTGCGGTTTTCTGCTGCTCATGCTTGGTTTTTGTTTGACTTTTGCTACTCTGAACTTTAACTTCTAAAACACCGTGCATTTAAAGGAGTAGCACAACGAATAATACATTAGCAGTTACCACGAATGAGTATTTTATTGCATGCTTTTCCAGTCTATTCAGATGATGGTATTGGGTGTTCTCCTTTAATCTGTTAGTGAGATGAATTACATCAATAGACTTTGTAATCCTAAACCATCCTTGAATTCTTGGGTAAACACAATTTGGTCATAGTATTGTTATTGTTGCTATTAATACATATTGGTTTCAGCTACTAATATTTCATTTAGATAGATTTATTTTTTTCAAAACACCCATTGCTTTTTCCCTCTTAAAAAAGCCAGTGGAAAATGATATATACTAAATAGTGGCTAGGATAACTAATGATGATGGAGAAGAATGAAACCATCTATATCGCACCCCATATACACAAAACTCATTCCAGGTGCACACAAACCTAATGCAAAAAGCTAACTTTAAACATCTTAGAAGAAAATATAAAATACTTTTAAAATGTCAGGATAAACCATACAGATTTCTTATGAGGATTTAACCTCAGTAAAATTAAAAATCTGGCCGGGCGCTGTGGCTCACGCCTGTAATCCTAGCTCTTGGGAGGCCGAGGCGGGCGGATTGCTCAAGGTCAGGAGTTCAAAACCGCAGGCCCTGAAGGCAAGAGCGAGACCCCGTCTCTCACTATAAATAGAAAGAAATTAATTGGCCAACTGATATATATATAAAAAATTAGCCGGCCATGGTGGCGCATGCCTGTAGTCCCAGCTACCCGGGAGGCTGAGGCAGAAGGATCACTCGAGCCCAGGAGTTTGAGGTTGCTGTGAGCTAGGCTGACGCCACGGCACTCACTCTAGCCTGGACAATAAAGCGAGACTCTGTCTCAAAAAAAAAAAAAAAAAATTAAAAATCTGTGTCAAAAGACACTACCATGTTTCCCCCAAAAATAAGATGTACCCATAAAATAAGCCCTAGCAGGATTTCTAAGCATTTGTGCAATATAAGCCCTACCCCAAAAATAAGACTTAGTGGTGGGCATGGCTACACAGCGGACCATGCATTTTGTTGCAGAGTGGTAAAGACCATGAGCAGCCCTTCTCCTCTGCCCCATGAGAGCTCTATGGCTCCACATGAGAGATTGGGGCCAATGGTTCTAAAGGAAATAGAGTCACAAGACATTCAGGATGGAATTCGGGGTTTGGAGAGTTATGATGATGTTCCAGAAGAAGACGACTTCACTATATTTCAATAAATGTAGATTGTTGTACCGTACTTAAAAAAAAATAACACACCCCCTGAAAATAAGCCCTAGGGTGTTCTTGAGGAAAAATAAATATAAAACCCTGTCTTATTTTCAGGGAAACACAGCATATAAAGGTGAAACCTAAAGCTACAGAGTAGGAGATGGTATCTAAAAGCATATGACCAACAAGTATTAGTATTCAGAATATGTGAACAATTCCCAGGTACACTAAGGAAAAGAAAACGGACAAAGCTTATGAGCAGGGATTTCACAGATAAAGAAACTGAAGTGGCCAAAAAAGCTAATGAAAAGATGCTTGACTGCATTTGCAAGCAAGAAATCCCAATTAAATCCACAACAGCATATTAGTTCATACTCAACAGACTAACAGTTTAATTCTGGCAATGCCAAGTGTTGGTTAAGGTCTGTTGGCACGCTTATGTTAAATTTACATTAAAATGTAAATTGGTGGCCAGCATGGTGGCTCATGCCTGTAATCCTAGCACTCTGGGAGGCCGAGGTGGCCAGATTGCTCAAGGTCAGGAGTTCGAAAGCAGCCTGAGCAACAGCGAGACCCTGTCTCTACTATAAATAGAAAGAAATTAATTGGCCAACTAATATATATAGAAAAAATTAGCCAAGCATGGTGGTGCATGCCTGTAGTCCCAGCTACTAGGGAGGCTGAGGCAAGAGGATTGCTTGAGCCCAGGAATTTGAGGTTGCTGTGAGGTAGGCTGATGCCACAGCACTCATTCTAGCCTGGGCAACAAAGCGAGACTCTGTCTCAAAAAAAAAAAAAAAAAAAATGTAAATTAGTGCTATGACTCCTGAGTACAATTTGGGCATATGTGGTTAACTGGAATTGCACATATCTCTGCAACCAGTAATCCCAGCAGTTCTACCTCTGGGCTTGTCTAGGAAAAACTTTTAGTCCCATGCTGAAGCACTTCCGTTCACAAATGGCAGCAGTGTTTGCAACATGAGAACACTGGAACCAACCCAAATGTCAAACATCAAGAAAACAGAGAAATAAATTGTGGAATGACAGAATACTAGAATACCACTCATCACCGAAAAGCCATGGGTCAGAGGACTGGTGTCAACCTGGGTGGATCACAGTGCTACGTGGACAGCGTTGCAGGAAGATGCATTACCTTGTAATGTCTTTGTATTAAGTTTGGAAATATACAAAACCATACCTAATGTGTGTGTTTATACACACATGCGCAGTAAAAGCTTGAATGTGAGCATGCCGGTAAGTCCCAAATTCAAAACTGGGTTTAACATTAAGTCAAGGACCCTGTAAGATGTGACCCTGAACCAGCTACTGTTGTGATACCTGGTCACCTGTTCGTTCTCCCTGAAATGCCTCTCAGATGCCCTAAACTCATCGCCCCCTCACCAGAGTGAGGGCCCTCAGTGTGTGGGTTCGCCAGCCAGTAATTATTATCCTTTGGCAAGGATTTTTGAGGTTTCTCCTCAGCAAACATAGACTAAGAGTTTAACCTTTTTTTTTTTTTTTTTTTGAGACAGAGTCTCCCATTGTTGCCCAGGCTAGAGTGAGTGCCGTGGCGTCAGCCTAGCTCACAGCAACCTCAAACTCCTGGGCTCAAGCAATCCTCCTGCCTCAGCCTCCCGAGTAGCTGGGACTACAGGCATGCGCCACCATGCCCAGCTGATTTTTTCTATATATATTTTTAGTTGTCCAATTAATTTATTTCTATTTATAGTAGAGACGGGTCTCGCTCTTGCTCAGGCTGGTTTCGAACTCCTGACCTCGAGCAATCCGCCTGCCTCGGCCTCTCAGAGTGCTAGGATTACAGGCGTGAGCCACCGCGCCGGGCCACGAGTTTAACCTTGAGCATGTGAAAGTCATAGCTGTTTCTGTGGCAGCCCGGTGCTCACATCTGCCCTGTGCTGCCAGGTGCTGATTTCTGACCCTCTTAGCAACCCACACTGGTGGCTTCAGCCCTTTACAGAGGGAGTCCCTGAGCCTCTGCAAGGTCAAGCACGTGCCCACACCAATCTATAACACAACCTGGCTGCAAGCGGGGCTGGTCTTCCTCGGATTACCGGCCTGACTGACCCTAGGCCAGGGGTCCCCAGGCCGCGCTGGCCCGACACGGGGCGGGGAGGTCGAAAGAGCACCCCCTAGTCTGTTTCCAAGGTGAGGTGGGGAGCTGCCCGCAGCCGCCAGTGGCTCACGCTGCTTCCTACACGCTAGGGCCTCTTTCTCTGCAGATGGGGAAACTGAGGCAGACAGCGGGCAGGGATATTCAGCCCCTGACACACAGCTTGAAACGGAGGAGCGCAGCTCAAGCTAAAAAGAATCACTCCAGCGAAGCCAGATGGTGACACTGACTCCCACCCCGGAGCCCATCAGCTCTTCTGCCCCTACCCCTGCAGAAGCGCCCGGGCCACTCTGCCGGCCCTGGCCGTTCCTGGGGCCTGGGGAGCCCGGGTTGGGAGCCAGGGGCGTCCCGGAGGTTCGGCCTCCGGACCGAGACTTCCGGGCCCTTGGGGAATGAACGGGGTCAGCCCGCCCCACATCCGGGCCCGCCCCTAGGCCCCGCCCCACATCCGGGCCCGCCCCAGGCCCCGCCCCCGGCCTCTGCGGAAGTCCCCGACGCCGGCCAGACCGGCTTCGGCCGCGAGGGGGCGGCAGAGTCCCGGCTCGGGGGGCCGGTGTCGCCGGGCCGCCCCTGCGGCTGAGGGCCTGGCGGGCCGGCCGAACCGAGGCGGCCCGGGCGCCGCCGGGTGCGGTGGCACTCCTGGGGGCAGCCGCCCGGCACCTGGAGGCGGGGCTCAAGCTAGACCCCAAGACGCCTGGCCTCCCCCGGGGCGCAGCCCGGCCGCGGAGCGTTCGCGGCGGCCTGGGGCCTCATCCCAGCGGGCCGGGCGGCTGCCGGCGGGCCTCTCTGAGCGTCGGTTTCCTCCTCCGCCGCGGGGCTGAGGCCGCTGGGTGGAGGAAGCGCCTCGCAGCCTCGCCTAGCCCCCTACTGTGGCGGCGTCTGTCTCTGCTCCCCACGGTGTCGCGGGGCGGAGGTCGGGCCGGCACACA